CACACACACACACACACACACACACACACACACACACACACACACACGTGCAGTTTTCATGCAATTTCATCAGCTCCACCACAATCTGCCAGTGCGACACAAACGGGCCTGGCAGCAATTTAAGTTGATCTTAGATAATCCACCCCGGTCACCGACAGCCCACTCACTGCCGACTCATTATTGACTCAGCAGCCCCCAGCAGAGGCGTCTGACCAAGCATAACACATCCCACTCCAGTATGCATTGCACTGGGTCATGGCGCTCTGCTGGTATTCGTCTTCTAGGGCACTCTCAGTTTGTGATGCCATCCTGTAAAATACAGCGGGCGAGGCTTCCTCGTTTAGCGTCGAACACAACAGGCCGACTGTTTCCATTCATTAAAACATATAAATCCTGAATAAGCTGCTGAAATCAGAATTAATCTGCTCTCGACGATAAAGGAATTGAGCCGCCATTAAATTCTCATTATTGCTCAAATCAATCTTTCAAATTGAGTGCTCCCCCACAGCTTTTTATCAACAGATAAAAGCTGCCTCTAATTCCATGACACGCGGCAGAACATTGAACGATTAGGACACGCTGACGCTTTTAATGGTGAGGGACGTGTTTTCTTGAACTCACTGAACTTGCAAACCTAAATTTTAAAACATTTCAGCGAGAGGTTGTTGTGAGCCGTCAGACGAGAGAATGAAGAGAACGATGTCCGGCATGTGTTAAGAATCAAGCCTGGCAACTGCACACACATGCAAACAGATTTGCAAGGACGGACTGTATAATGAGGTGTTTGTGTGTCAGGGATGAGCAAGACAGAACACATTCAGCATGCAGAGTGGAAACTTCAGCAGGAAACTCTTGTTATGACAAACTCTTTGTTTTTGTATAGTCAGCTAGATAGCAGCCCCCCGAGAGCACACAGGCAACCCTGCTTAACTTCTGAATATAATGTATAACAGTGCTGTGTTTTCATATGGCAGCAACATAGGTGCACAATAAAGGGTGGAAATGCTGCTCACAGTGGCCTTAAACTGCATGAAGAGAATAGAAAGCCTGCAGGGACAATGCAGCCTAAAATTCACATTCCTGTTACCTCCCTTTACTCTCTTCTCTCTTTCTCCATTCAACCAGGGGCGATAGGTAGTTTGGCTGGCAGGAATCATGGATGGATTACTGAACAGGCCTACCGTGTGCCGGCCCAGAGCCTCTGCATGAAATGACTGATTGCCTTTCTTGTTGGAAAGTCAATCAAAGAACCACAAAGAGACACAAAACGAGTGCAAAAAGACGCAAAACCATTACAAACACCGCAAGGGTGCGTTTGTAGCCATTTTGTGTCCGTCTAGGAGTCTTGGTCGCCGCCTCTTCATATGTTTTTTAAACCTGCCACTGCAGGTACCCCCTTCATTCCTTCATCTATTTATACTTTCTCTTTCCTTCCCCCTTTTTCTACATCCGCCAAGCCAGGCTTTCTCCTTGTTTTTCTTTCCCACGCTGCCCAAGACTACAGAGGATGAGCCCTGTGCCAAGTTGGCAGAAGTCTGGGCCGGGAGGAGAGGATTGTATGAAGAGGAGGGGAAAAGCAAAAGAAGGTTGAGGGAAAAGTGACAAAGCTCGGGGGAAAAGATGAGGAGAGAGGAAGCTTGTGATAGAGAATGAGAGAAGTAGAGAGAGAGAGAAGTGGGGGAGGTGTTAGTGAGCACCATTTGATGGATTATCTGTTTCAAGTGCGATGTTGCACCGGGTAGCAGTCTTCTTTGACACCAATCTAATTTAGGAGAGAGGCAGACCTGGCTGCTACACCGAGCAGAAAAGCCAGAGTGAGTGAGTGGGTTTTTTTTGTATGTGGGGGGGGGGGTGGATTCACTCACAGACGAACATGAACTGCCATCCCTGCCACCCACTGCGCTGCATAGTCCCAATCAAAGTGTTGCTGGGACAGCAAGTCGTCAATCTGTCCAAAGTCCAGCGCTCCAGTAGTCTGATGAAAGCCGCCCCGCTCCACAGCTATGTGGGTAAATTGAAGGAGCCTGGCCCGTCGTGCCTTAGCCGATCCAGTAAACTGCTAGAATGAATAGAATCTGGGCGACTTTTTAAAAAAAAAATCTGCCACAGATTCTGGTCAGGCTTTGAGAACAGCTGCCATCAGCAGAACCGAGCAGCGCTAAGCAGGAAAATAGCAACACAGTCCAGGCTGCTGGCTCTCTGACAGCAGAACTGATGCTTGTTGACGGCACAGCCAAAACCAGTCTCCTCTCATTTAATGGGTCCAGTGTGAGCACCACAGCTGCTGCCCTCTCTGGTTTAATCTCTCTGATCACCTTTAAACCTGTCTCTCTCTCCCTCTCGTCTCAGGAACATCTGGTGCGGACCAAATTCCCTCCGAACCCTTCTGCCGTCTTTCAAAGCGGGCCGAGGGTCTTCAACATCTGACAGCTGCTCCGACTTCCAACCATTCCACTTTGATCGGTCATAAGGAACTAACAGGGGAAATGATTTGAGTCCATTCCACAACACAATAATCTATGCAAGGGAATGTACATTGTTGTGGAGCCTGTGGAGCTGCAGCATCACTATCCCCAGTGAGAGACAGACGGATAGATAGACGCCCCCCCC